GCAGAAAATCCTTCTTCATCATATTCCTCTTTAGTTACCACAAGTGAAAAAAAATCTGGATCTTTACTTAATAAATTTCCTCCATGCCAAGCATATGTAATGGGGCTGAAAGTTTAAAAACGAATTTATACAATTTATTATTGTTAAATTTGTAAAATTGTTTACTTTTCAGGTACAGTTACTGAAACATCAAATTCATCAGGAGCAAGAGCCCGCACTTCTTTAGTAAGGCGCTCTTCAAAACCAGGAAAACAACCGTTACCACCAGTTACAATGATATTGTTATATAGATGAGATCTAGTCTCTTCTGGGCATAAATTTATACTTAAAACAATTGCTTCTGATATACCCATTTGTGGTATTCCAATATCATTTGGATGGAATAAAATTTCTGGTATTGTAAAACGTTCATTGTTCATGCGTAAAACTTGCTAATATTAAAATTGGTAACAATTAATAATATATCAAATACCTTRCTGTAAAAATGGCATCATAATTTTAACTTACCTGATCTTTATCTATAGTTCTGCTCACTGAAGTTTCATCTAWTGTTCTTATAATTCCTCTATTCACAGTTGTATAATCAGGTAAAATATAGTCTCTGACAATAGTATTTTTTGGCCATTTCATTTTTGCRATTTTCAGATCTCTATCAAAATCTGTAGACATAAAACACAAGTCTTCCTTGCATTGATTCATAACGTATGTTTCTTCCATAACATGTAACTGTCGGTATGATATCACTTCTTTCAAATGATTAGTAAGAATTTTGCCTCCAACATTGACTCGTAATATTCCGGGCTTGAATTTTTGTTTTAAAATGTAAGGAACAATATGTGTAAAACTATAGCCGGTTTCAACAACCAAGCAACATTTGGTGGATGGTTTATTGTGGTGATAATGGTAGCAAGATAGATTTCCAGCTACAAAAAACATGTTTAATGTACTTATCATACAAAATGAGTAGGTAGACTTAAGTAATTTATTTACCATTAGTTCGCAATAAAGCTTGGAACTCATATTCTTCAAAAAACATTTCGGTCATTCCTTCCTGAATAGAATTAAAATTGAAATATGGTTCAGTTACAATTAATGGCATTTCAAGAAAGTTGGCTTTACAACAATCTTTACTGAAAATATAATCCCATACTGTTTTCTGAATATCCCAATTCAACAAGTAACCCTAGAAGTGTGGCAAATAAAAWTACTATCAGACGGAAGAATTTACTAAATACATTTGAATGCATAATACTATTATATAAAGTATTTTAACATTCAACAAAAACGACAAGCACTCATTCAGCAATACCTTTTGAAAGCCCAACATAAAGTACAATCCCGATTTGTCACGGCACTCTGAAAGCTGATCACCGATAAATGTTCTACGCCGTTCGCTTTTGGCCTTCATAATATAATTGGGTATAATCCTGAAGTCAATTATAACAATTAGGTATATTGTATATTATATTGGACCAACGTCTGACAATGTCAACACGAGTGTCTTACTTGGGCGCCTCGTCGTCCGTGTGACCAACTTTGGCCGTGTATGCACCATTGTCTAAGATGTAACTTTTCGTGGCCATCGTGTACAAAATCGATTCAGGTAATAACGAATAACTGCTCTACGCGTAAACGCCGTAAACGCAACGTCGTCGTAGCGTCGTGCCGAATGCCGATGTCAGCCGCGGCAAAATATAACATCACGGTCACGTTATCACTGTTTTCGCCTTTTCGGCGTAAAATACTAAAATATACACGCGGGACGTACTATGTGATAACGGTTAGTGGGTTGTTGTCATCATTGGTTCTCAAAATGGTGCATCGGTGCGTAATTGGTTCTCAAACGTAATGAAATAAAAAAAAAGAATATTGACAAAACCGCGCGTAAACTCGTAGGTATAAAATAAAATATTTATAGTATAAAATATTACCTAAATGTAAAGGTAATTACCTGGAGAAATTACCGTGAAAAAGCACGATATACCTAAAATTAAAATATAAAAAAACGTCTTTTTGTATACAGACCGAAAGGTCTACGGAGTGCGCGTGAATGCGTGATAGTAATATAATACTATAATAAGACATTAGGGTGGAAACGACAATAATCAATACCGTACAACTTGCGGGGCGGTCGTTCGTGTATGCCAATGCGTGTGCGTGTACGCTGCGTCCGCGGAKAGAATCGACAGTTTTTCCGATGTCCACGATGAGATAAAAATAATATTATTATGTTTGTGTTAATATAATAATTCCTCCAATACATCGAAACATTTGAAACCGACAGCGACCGTTGTATAATATTATACACACGCATGCATATTGTACGCAAAAACAATGGCTGATTCCGAGTTCGAAGAATTCAGGCAAATATTCGAATCGCTACCACAACACCTCAGGGCGTCCGCGCAGACTTATACGTAAGTTAAAACAGCACAGTTTTTTTTTTTTTAAACAATACATACATAGCTACATTATAATATATTTAATAATTTGTATTTAAGGTACATATAATACATACTTTCGTGCGAGTCCCACAGCTATATGTTACAGAATATTATTATTATTATACTACTATTACTATWTAGAACTCGCGGAGTCCAGTTGCGTACTTTTGGCTGTGGAGAGGGATGAAAGTCAAGTGGGGAGGTTATTATGTATAGGTTTACTGAGCTCAATAGCCTTTCCTAAATACATATATTGATTGATAAATACCTTTTTCGGACTAATCCTTAATATTTAATTAGTTTAGTGGTCCACTAAATACATACAGGTACATCGCCTGCCTAGCTACTAATTACTTTGTATAATATAGTGATACCTTCTTATATAAGCAAATTGTATATAAATACAATAATAATATGTGATGTCGTTAAACAATATTTTACTTTTTATCATCGACGTACCTATAGTTAATTTTTAAGTGGATGGCAGAGTGTATACTTTGGCACAACTATTTTTGTGTGCGCTCCATTGACCTGTCATATAAGAGTTAAAATATAATACCATGAAAACCTCAATTCGTTAATACAATATAATATTATACAGTTTTATTAATCTAATGTGTATTTAAATATATAGTTAACCGTGATGGCATGATGTTTAATAGTTATCATMAATTCCATTCAGGRCCGGATTTACGCCTATATAGACCAGTGAGGCCCGTGCTTAGGGGTTAGGGCAGCAAATTTTGTATGAAATCGAAAAATGTTATAGATAACATAGGTATACGATTAAAAATGTTTTATTGTTTATTAGAATTTATAATTACTTGTTTTGTTTATAATGACTACTGCAGATCTAATTTCTTTAAAATTAAATAAAAACTAAATTTTTTTCTTGGGTTAGAGGTGACATATTTAAAAGGTCCAAGGGCAGCACCTGTTCTAAATCCGGGATTGGTTCTATTTTCTATATGTAGTGCGAGTGTTTGATGATAGTTGTTTKATAGTTARAGCGTGATGTCGTTATTCATTGGGCGAGTTCCATCGTAATCTACAGGTGAAACACGTATGACCATCCACCCACAAATTGTTTTTGGAAAAATATATCCCAAATAGGTATTGTAATCACAATAGTCAATTTTGTTATTCACAAAAATAATTCTTTATTAATTATGAGTTACGCTTAATCCATTATTTWWAAAAAAAACATAGAAATGCTATCAAAATGAATTAGCTTTCTTTAGCACCGCTTTATTCTTCAATAGGATACAGTATAGTTAATTATCTTGCTACTTACATAATAATAAACGCAATAAAAAATATCTTTCTTGAAGATTATAGCGATGTTGAATGTTATCAAGTACCTTTATAGGCTCTTATTTTATATATGTATAATATATAATTCATAAACCTAAAATGTAGGTTATCTATTACTGTAATACTTGTCTATATCTATATATTTTTAATAATTTATTATTGAGATATTAACAGATTACAAATATGAAATAAGTTCATTGTTATAAGAGTTATAAAAAAATACGATAAATAGATTAAAATATATTAAAATTTTATTATTAATAAAACTATCTATAATCATAATTTTTGGCAATTGTCACTATATAAACATGGTTTAGATAAAGATTATCTTAAGATTTATTAGGGCTAAAAACTCAGATTTAGATACTAAGTGTCCAAGTGCTCATAATAAAAATTGTATTTTTTACGTATTTATTATCTTGTTATATTGTAGGATCTATATAGTCTAAGCCTCTAAGGTTTACACTATTATAGTATAATATATAGTATACATGCACATATACATGCTTTATTAAGAATGGCCAAATTAATAAATATACCGCAAATTCGTAAATTAAAATACTCTTGATTTATTAAAATAAATGGCTGCATCCGAATCGGTTCCCATACCTGAAAATTGACATCCGAATTGGTTCTCGACATTCCAGACAACACACTTCCGAATTGGTTCCCGATATTCTAGGTAGGCGGCACACGTCCGAATTGGTTCCCGATATAGACTTACGAAAAAGCAAAATACAATATAATATAAATGAAATAATTAATATTTTAAATGAAAAAATTGATGAATTCTTCGATTTTATTTTAAAAACTATATTGAAAAAGATAGCTCACTTTCCACCAACAATGTGGGCTGAATATACCAGTAGTATAGAACGAGCTACTAATTTATTCTGTGAATCATTTCACAGCAAATTCAACAGTTGCTTTTATTCCGCACATCCGAACATATTTCAATTTATAGATGTACTAAAAGAAGTTCAAATTGAAACTTATATAAAATTGCGAAGTTCGAAYAAACTACAAAACCTGAAGTCTAAAAATAAGGAAATATTTATAAAAACAGAAATGAACAAATATAAAAATAACGAAATCAATAGATTTTAATTTTTTTTTAATGTTTGTTATAAGTTTTTACCTCAATAATAGAAAATAATAACTATAAAAAAATGGACGAATTAAAAAAAACGATATACCGCCTATATTTATTATTATTTATATATTATATTTTTAAATTAAGATTTTAATTTAAAAAAAATGTTTGTTATATAGGTATTATTTATTAGGCCAAAACTTTAACAACTCGGGAACTAATTCGGATATACCCTTTGAAAGAACCCGGGAACCAATTCGGACACTCCGAAATAAATAAATACACATATAATATAATATTCAATCGAATTCCTATAGTATCCTACTTATAATGTTAATTGAAATTAAAGATAATGTTTAAGGTTGATTAGGTATTTAAAAAATTTAGACATGATTTAAAATATTAAAATATACATTACATAATATATGTAAATATTGTAAATGTATCAGAACAATAATCAAAATCATTAATCCCTGATATTAAACAAAAACTTACATCAACCACAAATTACAAAGAAACCCTTTATTATAATCTTATGGGTTATTAAATCTTTTAATAATTGAATCTCAATAGTTATATGAGTTGTATTTTTTAAAATAATAATATAGATTAAGTAAAACGATTTGTCTATTTATTACTATATACTATTGCACTACTAATACATGATTTTGATTTTAACATTATGATAATATATTATTTTGGATAGACACATAACAGTAAATGGTTTCAATTCGTTACAACGAAAGCAAATAAACCTWGTAATTATTTTAATATTGAAAAAAAAAATTAAAATAATATTGTACGTTTGATGTCGTCATCGATATTGGATGTAGAAACTTAATGTGCTCTCTGAAAATTAAACCCCCTAATGCCAACTGCTATTAGATGTGATGCAGTTGAAGAGTTAGATTAGAAGCCAACATTTATTTTTCACATTTATTTTCTGTCCAGTAAGTTTTTGAAAATTAATGACTATTCAATACGTTATACRTGAAACTATAATAGTAGCTTTTATTCAACAGGTAATAAACGTCCAAGGTTCGATACCCGGTTGATGATAACATTTTTTTAATTTATTTTTTTATTTGTTTATCGATTATCAATTATCTTCATATCATTATATCATCAATATCATTATATTATTATTGTTACGTGGTTTATCTACTATTTACGCCTTATACCCATATACTATTTGATGAATTAGCGTATATTCAGTAAAAATAATAAGTACGCACGTATATACAATTGTATATCTTCATAATTTTTTTTTTTTTTTTTATTGAGCTAACCCTATTTTTTATTATTATTTATTGACGTTTGAGTAATGAGTATATTATGACATTTMTGAACTATCAAATAGTAGATTGGTTATTAGTTAGTATAGTTAMTACCACGTATAAGTACGTATACCTATTGTTTTAGTCCTATAGTCTTAAGTTAAATATCGTTTGTGACCGACGACCATAATATTGCAGTTATATTGATAAAAGGCTGTAGCCTGTATTTGTCCGTTGTCGTCATCATACTGATATTTAATTAAGTAATAACTAACATAAATAGATAAAATTGAATAATAAAAAATGTTAAACTTATAAAATAATTGTAAATATACCTAATTAGGTAAATAAAAACTCAAAAAGAGTCAACATAGTTCGAAAATTTGCAAAATGATAATATTAATATATTTTGATGACAATTTCAAGTTTCTTTGGTTATTCGTTTTTGAATTAMATTGAAATATAAAAAAATAAATTAATAGGAATTTAATGRTTAATCTACACTGTAACTTATAAATACTAACAGTTTTTTTTTTTTTTTGATCTTGTATAAAACATCGGCTTCTGTTGCCATTAGTTTACAAATTTACAGTAAT